CTCTAAGTTAAAGAGTGTAAATGTGTTGTTACAAAAGAGAGCCTTGAATGGACCGAAGTCAAGTACAGTGATTACAGAAGCCTCATCTGATGCCTCTGAGAACACAGGGATAATCTCCAAGGAGGATCTTACACGAGGCACCTGCTATTGACCTCCAAACCAAGGCAGTAAGGCCAACAAAGCAATATTTGGGTCACCTAAGCAAGCTTCAAATCACCAAGAACCCTGTTCTTATGGGTGACTTCAACACCCTAAACATTTATTGGAAGAACAAACAATAGCTAACATCTAATTTATCAAGTTTTAGAAATGTGTGGAGAACCATTTCTGACACATATGTTAGCTGTACCTGCCAGGAAAGAGACACTGCTTGATCTGCTACACGCAAACCAAGAAAAAACTGCTTTCATTTATATCTCAGTTAGCAATGGTTTTATGATCACAATATTATGGAATTTGGAATCTTGCTGAGCATGCTGAAAGTGACTAGTAAGACTAGTGGTTTAGATTTTAGAAGGGAAACCTTACCACCATATTCCAGTATTTAAAGGGTGGCTACAAAGATAGAAAGGCTACAAAGAAGATTTCTTTTTATTCAAGGAGTCATATGGGGGGTAATGGGTACAAGTTACTCCTTAGGAGATTCTTACTGGACATTCCTAATGCAATCAGTCATTGGAATAATCTGCTCAGGGAAGTGGTGGATTGCACACTTTTAACATTTAGCTGCACAGGATGTGCCATCTTGTCTAGACCGTGTTTTTGCAAAGAAAGGTTGGACCAGATGATTCTTGAGGTTCCCTCTAACATGGGATTCCCTCTAACTATTCATAGAATACTATGAATCTGTGATTCTGTGCACAGATAGAATTTCTCTGCATCTGGGTTTGCTTTATCTGCACAAATGAATTGAACAAAAAACCCCAAACAAAAAAACCCCTCAAACAACTCAATCACTCATCTGCCTCCTAAACAAGTTAGCATTCCCAATCCAACAGCAGATGCTTCCACCCAAAACTCCTAAAAGGCATCCCTTGTTTACTTTTTATATGCAGAATAGCTTATATTATGAAAGTTATTTCACCACCTCAGCACTGGTTGATTGGTCTTGAGGAAATTTCTGAGGTCTTGACTTAAGTCAGTGCTGTCTCAAGGGTAATATTTTTTGCCTTCCACCAAATTTCCTCTAACTCCTATTTTCAAAGATGAAGGGGTTTTTTTAGTTTTTCAGCACTTTATTTCCAATCACATCTGTCCAGGCCAGTATTCTTGTCATCATATTTCTGTGTAAAGGTGACCTGTCTAAGGGCAGGATGAATTGAAACTGACCAAGATGTCACAGTTTCCTTCTTTTTCAGTTGCCCTGAAATGTGGGATGGTGACTTTAGAAAATAGCATTTATATGCAGAAGTGTAACAGAGAAGTGTTGTAAGAACCAGTTGAATAAAGATTCAAAGAAAGACTAGCCCATCTCCATCCCTAGGAAGATCCTAAAGGCAGGACTTCTCACTGTAAAGCAATACTTTTCTCTTGTGACTCAAAAATTTTTGCTTCTAAAAGCAGTTTTCATGTGACTTAGAAAGGGAGAGCAGCTCATCAGCTTCATTAACTCCTGGACAGATGTTAGGCACGCAGCTCTGTTCTTTGTTATGCCACGAGTTGCTTAGTCAGTTTGTCAGATAGCAATTGGATGTGAAATGCTATTAGTGCTTCACAAACACAATCAGCTAAGCAACTGAGCTCATCCCAGACATGATTAAGTGAGATCAATTATAATAAGAACTAGATAAGAGAGGTAAGCTTCTTGTTCCTTGGGTTGGTATTCCTCAGTATTAGCCTTTGTAAGTATCCTTTATACATCATCAGCTGCAAAATCTTGATTACTTCAGGAAGTGGCTTCTAGACCAGCATTCAAATGAACTTCATCCTGAACTGATTATTCTAATACTGCAACTGCCACCGAGTGGGGAAACAGTTTATTTGAAGCATCAATTGCACCAAACAGAAAAATAGGCATTGAAGCCAAAGTTTTGCAATTCAAGGAGCATGTTTCCTCTCCATCTCAAATATGGTTAAATATTCTGAAGCAGAGCTCTTTGTGCCCCAAGAAGGGAATAGCTGTCCTTCATAGCATCATGTTTTGCCATGGCACTATTGCTATAGCACTTAAGGCTTAATGTGCTAAATATCAGAATTGATGCATTATTCCTGAAAATTTTGTCATGAAGCTGAACACCAGGTATTCACTAAATCTGAAGGATATATGAGAGTCATATGCACAGGAAGTAGTGTAAATATGTATATTGCATGAATAACAATATATTTGTGCTTTGTTAATCAGAACAGGGAAGTGGATAATGTAGGAATAGAGGGGGCCATATGAACAAACAAAATAGAAGAGTGGAATGTTGCAAAATAGTTCATGTCTAAATTGGAGAGAGACTTGCCCATATCTTTGAGCAGATATTTTTAGAATTATTTTAAATATCTTTTGTGGCTTCTGATTCTTGCCATGGAGCTCCCAAGAGGTAATTTTTTTGTGATATAGAAAGACTGAATGCAGGATGCATATCATGCCACAATTGGCCTGTTCTGGGGCATAAGGTTTGACCAAAAGCCCACAGCTCTGTTTACTTGCATATTTTTTTTTTTTTTTAGAGTGAAGATTCCTAATCTCTGAACTATTTTCATAAAAATATTTACAATCTTAGAAGAGTGACATGGTCTATGCACATTTCCTATTGTGTTGCATTGGATGTACTGCAGTTGTCTGCTTACTTAATAATCAAATCTGATAAACAGAAATATAATTGCCTCCCCATTTGCTATGAGTAGGACTCAGATGTCTTTGATGATCTAGGCTGGCACCTTTCTTGCCCTTTCAAGTGCTTTTATCAGTATCATAGTGATATAGTTGTTTGGGATTGTGCGGTCTCCTTGATGGGCTCAGTGCCAGTCTCTGCTCTGGTCCAGTTCCCAATGTTTGCTTTGCTGACCACTGTGAGTAACTGAGCAGAGCAGGTCAGTTCGTCCTCACAGATCCTCTCTGTAATCGCTCCTTGGCAGACATGTGGGACCGCTGTGACCTTTTCTGCAACCAGTGCAAAAGGTTCCTGTATTCAATTCTGAAACAACTGTTAGCCTCTGCCTTATCTTTTCTTCCTCATCCTCCCACATTTTTTATGGCTTTTTTGATAGAGTAATGCTTCCCTCAGATGCTGGTCCACAGGTCACTGCGAAAATATTCCTGGTGTTAGGTCTCTTTCTAATCACAAGTGGCCATTTTGCATTTCATAACCGACAAACAGCAAGAATTTTCCTCTAAAGTTCAAGATCAATTATTAATAATTAGTTGGGAAGATTCAGGAATTTCTAGGATGGATTCTTTGGCCTGTGCTATGTTAAAATATGTGAACATAAGTGGTCTCTTTTGGACCATTCATCCTTGTAGCAGTGCACCACTTTTATCATATTGTTTAGTTTATAATTATTTTCTGCCTCTATCTTCTTTCATTGCAGCTGAATATATTTTCATATATACACAATATTCTTTCATTTTTCTTTTGTGTGGACCTTTACCAAAGGTTTTTGGAAGGTTAGTATGTTTTTCACCTGATGATGCTACTTGCAGTGTTGAAAATATTTGATAACTATCTAAAATAAAATAAGAAGTAGGAAAAGTTATGATAGAAATGAGAGCTATTATTTTATTCTACTAATGTTTGTTTTATTAAAGAAAAAGCATTTGATATGTGGCATTTTTAAACTTTGAGCCTTTTAACACGACATACTTAATTGTGGCACCAAAAGCTTTTAACATGCATTATTAAAAATTATGCATCCAGGAGAAAAAAATGTAATTCTCTATTTTTGGGCCTAAATACATGTATTTAAAGTATTTTTGCCCAAGAGTGTGTGTCTTATGTTCCACCTGTCCACTAATTCTTCAATGTAGATATCATCTGATCTTTCTGAGAAAGATCCAAGGAACACCAGGTCCCTCTGGAGTTCTCATCCTCATGCTTAGAGTTTTAAAATTAAATTTGAACCATGAGATTTGGAGTGGGTTCATTTCCAGCATTAACTGTTACAGTTTTGGGCATAGCTCCTTCCTGAGAGACTTTCTGTGACCCCAGGTTCATCCTTGCAAAGTATTGAGTTCTGTACAGTTCTGACTTCATTAGTTGCATTATTCTGCATTCTTCTTTGTGGTGAAGCAAAATGAATGATATCTCCTTAAAAATTCTTGTGGACTGTGGTACACACTAAGCCTAAATAAAACATTTTGATGCTTCCCTGACGTCCATTCTGGTCCCTTGAATACTTTTGTGCATCAATTCCTGAGTCCATTCTCAACTTGGAGCTTCACTTTCTTCTCTTGGACTGTGGAATGGCTGCAGCAGTGCAGTGGTTTTGCTTCTATTTGGTGTTTCCTTTAAAAGATGATGGTAGGGGATGCACCCCCTCTCCCCATCCTTGCATAATGCTCTTGTTGCAGATCAGTTAAAAATTTCCAGGAGAATCACATAGAGGGAGATTTGTTAGTGATCTCTTTGTGGGATTCCTCTTTGCACCAGATTACTGGAGCCTTCTAACTCAACTGTGTAATTACATTGGGGGGTGGGGGGATGGACACAAGTCTCCACCTGTCTTCTCACCTATTCCCTAAATTCTCAGAAGGTAACTTAGGACCTTGTGACATTAGCTCATGACACATAACTGTTAACCATTACTTCAATGTAGGTTAGTACAAAGTTACTCTGTGTAGGATAAAATGATACCTTTCTATGTGCTACTGTTTATGTGAACCTCTATTGCTTTGAAGAACATATTTTTCTGTCACAGGACACTGAGAGAAGACAGAGAGATGAATCCCTAAGGGATTCCCAGTCTGCAAATTAGATTCACTGAATATAAAAACAGTAACTCTTAAAAAAGATTTAAAATTGGTACCATAGCTGCATGTTTTATTTACTGTGCTCATTTATTCCATTCTTTAGGTTTGAAGATGGTACTGTCTCTTTTCTTGATATCATTGCTCTGAAGCATGGATTTGATGTTCTGGAAAAACTCACAGGTCAGTTAATATAACTCTAATACTGAAGACTGCAGTTCTGGATTTATGTTCAGGGTACAGGTCTGATCATATTTCTTATGGCTCTAGCTTAATTTTCCTTTCTAGTTGTACTACATATGTTCATCATTGTGAAGATGAGTAATAAGCCAGTGTAACTGTCTGATGTGAATAAGCCAGTGTAACTGGCTTATTCACATGCTCCCTAGTGGATTATTCCAGCCTGGTTTGAAAGAAAAAAAATGGTCCAGACTGGTTCTAGATATGCCAGACTTGAGTACACAGAGCACTTCTCATCTGACTCACACTCACAAAGATGCAATAGGAAAGTAACACTAGAAAGTAGCTGAGTGACCCTCACTGTTTGAGGCAACCTTTGAAGCCCTTGACATGGAGCTAATGCTGAAGTCCCAAATAAAACTTCAACCGATCTTCAAGCTAGAACCTGTATGTGAAGAGTGATACTCATATGCCATAAGAAGGCACATTCCAAAGACTGCTGCTTGTCTGGCTCAGCACCTCAAAAGCACAGTCTCTCAGTGCTTGCTGCCATGGGGCAGGGACTCTCCTGAAAAGGGCAATTGACACCAGGGAAGCTTGCACCACGGGCTGTGCAGATGTACCATGGCGTGTTTCCACATGTGGGATATGCCAGGTTAACAAAGGATGTTCCTGAAATGGGTTTCTTGATCAGGTATGTGTATTACTTAATGCATGATGTCTGAACCTCCCTTCTCCAGGGCACTCTTCTATTTCCTATATAAAGTCGTAAAGTGCATCATGATGTAAAAGATGCCTGAGTCCAGAGAGACATTGGCTATGAACTTTTCAGCTTAGTGTAATTCCAGCAAGTGTCTGTGGAGGTTTATTGTCATGATTTGTTTGAAGGGTTCTGGTTTCTTCTTCCTCCCAGTGCAAGGCTTCTGTGAGAAGTATTGCATTAGATGCTTCTGGTCTTGTTCATGTGGAAATCAATAGCAGTTTTCATACACATCAATAATCTGACTATGTCCAGCAAGTAAGGATGTTTTATTTTATGTTGCTCAACATGGAGACCAGGGATCAGTCACCAGCCTTTAGTATATGTTCTTGTAGTACAGAATGCTTCTCAAAAATGTACAACTTAAAAAAACACATTCACTTTTAAAGAGGGCTTTGGTTTAATGTGTAGGAGCATTGCCTGCCATGAATGTGAGATTTTATGATAGCACATCCTCTATTGCATTTCTCATCCATCTTAACCTGTTATTGGTACATATTTTAGCCAAACAATTGAAAAATCTCATAATACTAGACTGAGGGGAGCACTCAGCCCAGAATCTGAATAAAGCGGGTATCATTTAGATAGATAGTATCTAACACGGTAGAAGCGAAGCACGAAGAAATGAGATCTTCCAGTTGTCAAAAATATGAACTGGTTCAAATTTCCATACTTAAAATTCTTTTATAAAGAATGAAAATCAAAAAATTAGGAATATTTCTATTTTTAAAATTTTAAAACATTTTTTCCCACAGTGCTAAAATGCAGAAAGATGGGAAAACATAGACTGAAAGAGCAAATAGGAAGAAACCTATATGGAGGGGAAAATTGAAAATTAAATAAAAAATGGTTTTGACAAATACTGTAATTTTAAAACTTGAGCACTGCTGGTGTAGTCTAGGTACTTTAGTAGTCTCTAGTCAAATTCTGGAGCGCCACATTGAAAAGCAGAAGCACCAGCACTGCCACTTTACAGATATAAGAGACTGGAGAAATCCATAGTGGAAGAAAAAATGGAATTCTGTAAAGGATTTTAATCACCACATGATCCAAGAATTTTCTGCAAAGTTGGGCTGGTCCCATACCATTATCCATGACCAGAAGTGAATTAAGCTTTTGTTCCAGGTAAGTAGGATCTTTCAACATGTTCATGCTAAAACTTTTGTGATTATGCTTACATGTATGTGCATGTAATTAGAAAAATTTCCATGTGATGTGTTTTTATTAATTAGAATTTAATCATAGAGAAGGGAAATTTAAAAAGCCATTCAAAGTTGATAGTAGAACATAGCCCAACTACGATAACGTTTGGATTTTTTTTTTTCCATCATAAAATGCATTTTTATGTGTCAGCTTTTCAAAGCTGATGTGAAGAGTGGCTCAGCCCGATCAGGTCTCTTGGCTCTTCTGTGCTGGCTGTGAGACAAAGGTTTTGGGGGCCCTGCTCGTCAATTTGTGTAGGCATTGAATGTTCCTGGCACAGCTGATGCAACAAGAGATTCAGGGATTTGCAGTTGCCATTTCCTCTCACAATCCTTTTCTCCCCAGAATATCATTGACAACATGGTGTTTTGCAGGTTATTTAATTTCTGTCAAAGGCACAGTGTTCCCTTTGAACAGAGATTATTAGCACTTGGGTGTATACAACAAAGCCATTGTATCCTGTAGAAGCACTTCATAATCCAGAACTGCAGATTTGTTTTAAGCCTCTTTATGCATATTTCTTCCACTTCAACTGTCAGAGTTTTCAGTAGCAAAATGCACTGTCAAATGTGAATCACTTTCAAATCTCACTTTGCTGTAGCTACTGGAGTATACTTGCTTTGCACTCTCCAAACACAAACAGTGATTCTCATTCTGGGCTGGAAGTAGCCTAGAGTAACAACTAGTAGCCTAGTGGTTATTAATCATGTCCTAATGTGTAATAAAAGCACTGCTGAAGTTCTCTGGGGATATGCTGTAGCTGGATTATTCTGGTGTAATTATTGAAGATGGGAAAGAAAATCACTAATAGAAAGTAACTCAGAGTTTTGGTGTTAGTGTTGTGAAACATCAAACCAGTTTCTGACTGATACCATCCAAATACATCCTTGATTGGTCTCAACTTCCATTTAGAACAAGGCGTATTTCCTGCCGGAATTGCATAATGATGTGAATGTGTATTTAAACCATTCCCAGAGGTCTTACATGTATATGATTTTTAAACTCACGGTTTATGGTATGTATTTTTATTAGTAAATTTTCATCTGCTTTAAAAATGAAACCAAGGTACATAATTTGTGCCTTATTGTTACAAGGTTTACTTTGATTATAATGTCTCTTCAGGAAACATTCATTCACTTCAGAAGAAAGTATAATGTGTATGGGAAGGAATTTTAAAATGCAGACTAAGTCTCCTAAGGATGATGAATTGAAAGTTGTTTCTAATTCACCAGATGCTTGATTGGTTGTTACAGAGTAAAGGTTATTTTGGCCTTCATCAAGACAATTGTACCACAAAACAGCCAAAGCAAAATGTAGTGCAGGATGTTAAATGGTGATGGTAACTTAGTTTTTTAACTTGATCTCTGGAACTTTTGTTTTGTTTTGCTCTTCTCCATCAAGGACTGGTTTCAGACAGTGATGTGATATTTGTCAACCTGCATTTAATAGTACTGCACAGGTTCTCAAGTGTGTTGTGTTTAAACACTTAAGGTTTTATAAGACATCCAATTTAGGGGGCAGACAAAAACAATGTTCTAAAATTATCAGGGATTACTGGGATTTCTTTTGGGTAGTGTTTGTGGCTTCATCCTACTCTTGTCTGGTCACATCACCTAAACTTGGACCACTTTGCTTGTGTATTTTACTGCTTTCATCCTTAGTACTGCTTTCATTCATAGTTTTAATAGATTTGGGGGTTCACTAATGTGAATATCAACTGTGCAGTCTAAATATTTCTAAGTGTGTGTATCTTTCTTTCTACATGTGAGATTATATAAGAAAGGTGGTTTTCCTGCCTTATATCAGATGGTTGCTGTAAAACAGCCATGGCCTGCTGATGAGTCAGAACCTCTACAGAGGAATTACCTGCACTTGTTCTCTTTTAGATTTGCAACATGAGATTGTGTTTCACTCTGAGGACTCTCACTTGTGTTTCATCTGTGTGGACACTGCTGAATGCTTCCATTGAAGTCAGTGGGGCCATGAAAAGTCTAATATAATGGCTTGGGAGATAGGTGAGGAATTGGGATACTTGAGTTCCTTTCCTTGGTAACAAAATTTACTTAACATTTATTAAATCACATAAATACTAATCTTAAGGGGAACAGTGAGTTAGGTAACCAAATATATTTTCAGATCTGCATTTAACCTCTGGATGGCATTTACCTTATCTTGCTGAAAACACTGATATCTGAGCTACCATTTTGATTCCCGCTGAAATCCGTGGAACAGACAGTGACTTCACCAGCTTGATCCTTCTGAATTTTTTTTTAAATTTAGAGTGAGAGGAGTTAAAGCCAGCAATATCAGCTCTTTTCTTTGTCTATTAAAGGAGTTTAGATGATTAGCTTAGTGTGGTATAGGGCATTTCTTTCATTTTATATAACTTACTTGCTAATGATCCCTTTGGGATTAGAAAGCTGAACTACCAGATTACTTAAGGTGGAAATAGTGTTTTAGGATTTTTTTTTTGCTTCCCTTAGATCTGCAGCTTCTTTTGAGCAGGGCAGGTTCTACATTTCCTGTGGCTGAAATAAACCAGTAAATCATAACAGGAAATGTTCTGGAAGAACCCTGAGGAGCGTGAAGGGAGATTTTCTATTTGTGAAACCTTTATCTGTCCATTACTCTAGGAGTGATTTCTGTTTTCCAACATATATTTCATGCTTCAACAGGTAGATGTCACTTTCTCTGAGGGGGAAAGGCTCACAGTCTGACAGCAAACTATCCTGCAAAGGCAAAAAAAAAATTCTGACTCCAGGGTGCAAATGTGCCTGTTATGGTAAAAAAAAATGTGTTTTGTAAAGAATGTGTGTGTACAGCTGATTTCAGAAGTCTGTGGTGGTTTTCATTTTCAAATGACTGGTTATAGCAGATTAGGAGGAAAGTAAGCCATTGTTGGGACTGTGGTTAATTTATTAGGAAGAACAAGCTTAAGTGAGTGTGCATTTACTAATGGTTATGGATTAAATTAAAACAATTACAGAGACATATTACAAAAAGAGCAAGGAGATGAGGCAGTCTTGTGCAACTGCCTGGA